GTTCCACTCAGTCTCCTTCAGAATGAAGAATAACCATAGTCATACAACAATCACAACTCCACCACTTTCCCAACATGACTAATGTTTGATTAATCTCCGAGTCGCACCTTGATTCACTGAACACTCTGATTGGTGCAACATACAAAAATACTACTATCTGATTGGTTAATGTGATGCACCAAAAAATGCACGAATCACATTGCATCACATTGCTTTGAGATACACTGAAAAAAAAAATGCACCGATCAGATTGCTTAAAGATACACCAAAATTGTGCCGATTAGATTACTTACACCAAAACACACCACCCTATATGCTAACCTATAGTTTTTATCTTTTTTTCAGAAAATAATAACTCAGAAACACAGATTAAGTCCTTAACATACCTCGTGGACAGTAGTGTCCAGTGAAACATAAACCTGTCGGCTTGGTAGAACCTCTGAGACAGAAATGACCTTTTGGACACACGTATCACTCCTCTTGTGCCTTAAGGTTGGTAAGGTTTGTCCATGTTCCTTCTTCACAAGGGAACTGAGTTGGACTCATGGTGCCAAGGGGGCAGTAATGCCCTACAAGATAATTTTAACTAGTGACACTTTGTTGGAAGGTTATATTTGTAAAAAATATTGATTTCACCGATCATTACTCCCAACAAACAAATAAACAGATTAATGTGTATATATATATATATATATATACACACCATTCAGACTGCAAACCCTCTTGCTCAATACTCTATTGGTATCTTAGGTACCTGTACCAAATATCTACACTGACTTAATTGATAATTTTTCTTTTTTGTTTCCCAAAATGTGGAGAGATTTACACTATGGAAGTTGCACTATGCACAACTTTAACCAATCAATACCCATACCTTGCGCACATTCCTGAGGTGGTTTTTGTATCCCTCCTGTTCCTGCCTCTCATGATTGTCTTTCTGGACACTGGGTGCATTCTCTAGCGTGAGTCAAGTTGTGATAGTCAGTATAAGTTCCTGCTGGACAAGCATGGATGGTCTCATTAGGAAGTGACGACCCAGCAGGGCAGTAATAACCTGCATCACACTTCACAGGTGGCCAAGTTAGCCCAGGCCGGGGGCAGGCCATTCCTGATATACACGAGCGGCACTCTGCTAAAGATCCTCTGCAAGACAGGGAATTAAATGTACCCTTGGGGCAAGCAATGGGCTCTTGTGCTCCTGCTTCACAGTAGTGACCTGGCGGACAATCCTTACAGTCTAGTTGGCCTAGGAGAGTGGAAAAGTAAACATTGCTAGGTGTTAACATTTAAATTTTTTGGCACAATGTTAATACAACAAATTACAATAAATCATATTGTTAACCTTGTGCTCCTTGTTCTTCAGTGTAAGTCCCAGCAGAGCATGGTTTGGGTTCGGCAGTACTGTCCCTAGTCTTGCCTGGACAGTAGTGACCAGCAGGACACAGTCTGTCAGCATATGCATCACCAGATGGACAGTAATAACCAGGTAAACAATCTACACACTGGTCTTCTCGTTCAAGACCAATTTCCTTATTGAAAGTGCCTGCTGGACAAGGATGTTCAAATTGTGATCTTGTTCCTTCCGTGCACCAGTGACCAGGAGGACATTTCAACCTGCAGAGGTAAAATTTCTTGTAAAAATGCATAGTAATGAAAGCTGTGCCATGCAGACATGAATCTTGACTTAAGGTTACCATGCACCTTCAGGGGTGTCTCGCATGCAAGCGATGTAGCATGTCCAGTTTAAACTGTAGATATCTAAACCCCTATATCAAATTAAAGCTTATAGGACTGGCTATCAGACTACACCAAAACTTTTGAAAAAAATTTAATTGCGGAATTTTTCACGACTTCTAAATGCAAGCGCCCGAATCACCTTTTGGACGTTACATGTTAAAGCGAATTTTGTTTTTCACTTATTTAATGTGTTCCTCTGTTTCCGCAGCCAAAGCACTAAAAAATTGTGTCTGCAATTTGCCATATTCAATTTCAGTGAAAAGTTACAAAACATTTTTGAAGTAGGATTTAAAAAATGCAGAGTGATTGTGCAAAGATTGCTCTTGAAAAAAGACGATTTAGAAAAAAAAAATTCGAAGACGCGTTTTTGGTGTTTATATGTAAAACTAGCAACTGTCAAAATCTGAGAGCAATCGAACAAATTCCCTTTGACTTGTAGCTCTTAAAATGTGATTCAGGCACTTGCATTTAGAAGTCATGAAAAATTCCAAAATTAATTTTTTTTTAAAATTTTGGTATAGTCTGATAGCCAGTCCTAGAAGCTTTAATTTGAGATAATGGTTCAGATATCTACAGATTAAACCGGACGCAATACATTGCTTGCATGTGAGACACCCCTGAAGGTGTACGGTAACCTTAAGGTAGATCAAAAGCCAGTCAATATAATTGTTTTTTGCAGCATAGCTGATTATTAAAAAAAAAAGCTTCAAAAGTTAACTCTAAAATCTTGTACTGGTTAACAGCCACTTGTTAGCCATTAGGCTAATCCCTCAGAAGAAAACTCTTTCAGTTTCTTTCTTCATCTGGTTGATAAAGCCTTGTTCGTTGGGGCCTCTACTCAGGAGGGTTACAAAAGCTTTACCAGTTATGAAGTAATGGGCCCCATTCAAAGGGCTCGTCACATTACACAATTATTTGTAAATATTAAGTATATATAGTCCAGTTAAATGTTGGTTGTAACACTGACCTGTGGGTGGGATAGCCTCTTGTTCCTGCAGGGCAGAAAAATCCTGCAGGACAAGGTGGACAACCTTCAGCTTCACTTGCTGCGCCAGTGATATTACCAAATGTACCAGCAGGACAGTCCACCTCGCGCTGGCCATCAGGACAATAATGACCCAATGGACATAAACCAGAAGGAGGAGTGGGAGTTGTATCTGATCCCTTGCAAGTATAACCAGCACTGCAATCTGTGCATTCTGTAGCTGACTTGTTGCTGTATTTACCAGCAGGACATGGCATTGGAACAGAGTTTTTTTTGTTGACATCACATTTATGACCAGCTGGGCACTCTATACAGCTGGTTGCTAAACCCAAACTGTATGACCCATCTTCACATGGAATGGGTGAGGATGTAATATTAGGACAAAAAGATCCAGCTGGGCAAAGAGTGCATTTCTAAGGGGAAAGTAATAACAGCTAAATTCAGAAAAATCAGAATGAAGGCAATTAACTCATCTAATATGATAAATCAAAATTACACCTTCATCAACTTCAATTAAAGATGTATCAGACATTTGGGTAATAAATCAATTTTGCATTCTTCTCTTCATACACCAAATTTAACATTCAGTGCTCCTTAACAGACTGGAGGCCCATCCTAGTAATCTCAAATTTACCACTAACAATAATGATGAAAACAATGACAACTATCATGGAATGTCATAACCACACATCCTTCTTTACTGATATGGTGTCTTAAATCTCATCAATGCTGCCATTTGTATTGTAAAGTTTCCCTCTATCATTTGTAAGTGTCTAATGGTTCAGAGGCTTATCATAAGAGCTAGAGCTTAATTCTTTTTCATTTCACCCTCAAAGTCGTAGCAGTAGTAGACTTTATTTCAACTCTGGTCAGAGTATTGCTTACGAACTCAGTACCAAGAGAAAGGTTAAAACAAAAAAAGTCATAAATAATATAATTAAGAAACATAAATGAACTCATTTACAACATTGGGATAGTTTTTAAATTAACCGTAGTTCTAAATGAGGTTTAGCAAGTTGTTATTTTTAAGTCATCAGTCAACATGTTCCACCCTCTGAAAGCATAACAAGCTTACCAACTACAAACCTCCAGGGATATGTTGGAGCTACCGTTGTTTATTACCATATATAGCATTATGATTTAGAATTATGATTAGAGTTAAAGCAGGTTTTTAACTTGTACATTTAGATGTAGTTTATACTCACACCAGATTTGGCAGAAGAATATGAACTACCATTTAATCCTCTGGCGCTCTTCTAGCAAAAGATAAAGTTGCATTTATAAAGCGCGCATTACTCTGCAATGAAGCTGCTTAAAGATGAAGTGCAATAAGTTTATGCAAATTGTTTCTTTCTGAGAGGATTTCACACAGGAAAGTTATTTCTGATTTACCTTATAGGGTTAAGACTCAATCACTTTACGTCATTGCATAAGTATGAATCTTATCATATTGTCATGTAAAGGAAATTAATTTATCTTTTTTTAACCTTAATTACTTAAGGGAGATGTACTAATATGCCACTGAGAGGGAAAGCAGCGTTAAAACTGTACCATAAAGAGCTTGAGGAATTTTATGGCTGACTACCATTAAAAAGAGATAAAAATCTGTTTGCACCAGTCATTATTCCACATCAATATGTCCTTTATCCATTATTATGTTGTAATGCACATTTGAGCATATCCACACGAAATTTGTGCACTACAAATGCTGTATTATTATTATTATTATTATTATTATTATTATTATAAAAGAATGAATATATAATTTAGAAGCAAATTTGGGTGCCTTTAGCCACTACATTTGGGTCACATTGGTAAAATTATTGCACATTCAAGGAATTTACTTGATTTATTCATATATATATTAATGTATATTTAACTGATTTGTGAACAAACCTGTTCCCGACCAAGAGTGTAATAACCTGCAGAGCACTGGACTTTAAAGTCATCTGTTTTCGAAGGACAGGCATATCCAGGCGGACACTCAGTACAGTTTTGTTGTCCTCCTTTACTGTAGGTTCCATCAGGACACTCTATATCCATACTCTCTGAGGTGCTTGGACAATTATATCCTGGAGGGCACCAAGTACATGACTACAAAATACAGATAAGCTTTAGCAAAAGAAGAAATATTATAAACGCAGCATCCCTGAAAATTTCATACCATTGCTTAAAATAAACAGTGTACCACATAAAATAATAGAATAAAAAGTACTGATAATAAAGCTGTGTGCAACAACAGGATAATAGAGAATGACTACATACCGTTTGTGATCCAACTGAATATGTGCCTGGAAGACATACAACAGTTTGATTGGTGTTTGTTTGTGGACAAGCCTGGCCAGCTGGACATGGGGTGCAGTCTATCCGTCTGCCAATTGAATAAGTGCCCTAAATAGAGAGAAAAGCAAGAAAAAAAATCATTGTAATTGGAAAAATTCTCTTTAAATCTGCTTCCTAGAAAATAAAAAATATACCCACATGCTAACGGTAGGTAATTGGGCAGTGATACACTTTCATTACAAATTTGAAATCCCTCAAGGGCTACATATTCAATGATGCATACTGAAATAAAAATGTATAATCAGTTAAAACATACTGGTAGGCATTTAACATTTCCTGTTCCATCTTTATTTGGACACATCCATCCACTGGGGCATGGGGTACATCGCTCCTGATTACCCCAAGAAAATGTTCCATCCTCACAGTTGATTTCCGTTGACATATTGGTAAATGGACAAAACTTTCCTTCTGGGCAGACAGTACAAAACTGGGCCTTTTTATCAGAATACGATCCTTGAGAAGAAAAAAAAAAAAGAACAATTTCAAACGAGGTTGAGAACACACCTGAACCAATAAATACTGTGGCTATATTGTATGACACAGACTTTACAACAGCGTAGTCCAATGTCTTCAGCTGAAATAATTTTCAAATATTTACTAACAGATATGACTCCATAGTTTCTACAGTGTAAAACCTACATTAAGCGTTAACAGTAATATTCCTAAAATGTTGAGAAGTTTCCCCATAATTATCTTTTAAGGTCATACAAGAATCCTTTGAAGGACTATTGGGTGCAAAATAATTTCAAGGGAAAAAAATGTAATATACCTGGTTCACATTGCCTTGTTGGTTACTGTGAAGTTGAAGGACACTCTGTGCCTGCCGGACAATCAGTGCAAGACAGACTGCGGGGAAGACTGTACTGGCCAGGAGTACAGGGCTCTGGGTACGTCTGAATAAAGAAATCATCCAATTAATCACCAACACTGAGCAATTTTTAGTTAGGAATGTATTCCAAAAATGCTGTTAATAAGAAGCAAGGAAGCAAACTTTTGCTGAGAGAGGAGGCATGTTCAATTGCACCATGGCAACACCATGTCACCTCTATTAATTTTTCCCTTGAAACTTAATTAGTTGGGTGCAACATCTTGATGTACCAACCTTTTGCACAGAACTATTTGTTCATTGGTTTTGGGACACTATAATTAATATCAAAATCAATTCCTGAGTGTAAAGTGTTGTTGTAACACAGAACACCTGTAGTTTAATCTACTTACATCAGTTGTTGGACACTTGTGACCTGCAGGACATTCCAAACATCGAACTGACTTGCCAATACTATACGTTCCATTCTTACAAGCTGTTGCATTTGACCTAAGATACAAATTTAAAACAAAATCGGATATAAATCATACAACACCTTTGTATCATTCCATCAAAATCCACTCCCTCTTTTAATTGATGTACACACCAATTCTACTTACGTTGTTTTACACCTTGAAGAAAACATTCGAATTAAATCTAGAATTTTCCTTATTTGCTCATCCCCTTATTCTTATTGGCAATGCACAGCACAGGTCATAATCCAAGATCCACACCATGATGCTCACTACTTACTCTGGGTTTGGACACTTAAATCCAGCAGGACAGTCACTACAAGTTTCCTTTCCACTCTCTCCAAATGTTGTGGTACCAAGTGAACATCGAACAGCCCTCTGCTTGGTGGATGGGCACATGTATCCAATTGGACACACAGTACAGTTTGCATGTCCTCGCAATGAGAATTCTCCTTTAGTACATGGAGAAGGAGTGGAACTTGGAGATGGGCAACTGTAGCCAGCAGGGCAATGTTTACAGGATGTTGCACCCTAAATGAACATTGAATTCTCAGTTCACAGAATTTTATTCCTAATTTTTTTCTAGTTTTTTTCTCATTTTTTTCTTAAATCTAAACTAGTGAGATAGACCATGCCCAAAATAGGATTCTTTCTTTCTTGTTTTTCGCTTAGTACGGATGATTACCGTACTATTAAAATTAAGCTGATTTGAACAGACTTGTTTAAGTTGTGCTGTTCTTCCCCATTATAAACCTTAAAATTCTATCTTTCTTTTATTTGTTTATCTACATCAGTTTTTCTATGCAAAGGAATTATAAATTTAGGAAGTAATTGTTTGAAAAAGAAGATAAAACAAATAGGTCTAGTGGCTGAGTAATAAACCTTCCAAAACCGTTATGAGTTGTCGGTACTGAGTACTACGGTACTAACGTACTAACGCACCAAACAAGCCATAATGAGATGTCTGTACCGAGTACTAAGGTACTAATGTACTAGCGTACTAAACAGTTGAGCAACAAGCCGTGATGAGTTGTCTGTACCGAGTACTACGGTACTAACGTACTAAACAGATGAGCAACAAGCCATGATGAGTTGCTCATACCGAGTACGAAGGTACTAAACTTTGGTACTAAGGTACAGACGCACTAAGCAGCTGAACAACAAGCCGTGTTGGTTTGTCTGTACCGAGTACTAAGGTATTAATGTACTAAACAAATGAAGATCAAGCCATGATGAGTTGTCCGTACCGAGTGCTAAGGTACTAACGTATCAAACAGATGAACAACAAGCCGTGCTGAGTTGTCCGTACCGAGTACTAAGGTACTAACATACTAAACAAATGAAGAACAAGCCGTGATGAGTTGTCTGTACCAAGTACCAAGGTACTAACGTACTAAACAAATGAATAACAAACCTTGATGAGTTGTCTGTACCGAGTACTAAGATACTAACATACTAAACAAATGAATAACAAACCCTGATGAGTTGTCCGGACTGAGTACTAAGGTACTAACGAACTAAACAGATAAGTAACAAGCCCTGATGTGATGTTCGTACCGAGTACTAAGGTAAAACGTACTAACGCACTAAACAAATTAATAACAAACCATGATGAGTTGAGCAGACCGAGTACTAAGGTACTAATATACTAATGCACTAAAGAGATGAGCAACAAGCCATGATGATTTGTCCGTACTGAGTACTAAGGTACTAACATACTAGCGCACTAAACAAATGAAGAACAAGCCGTGATGAGATGTCCGTATCAAGTACCACAGTACTAACGTACTAACCAGATGAGCCTACTGACCAGATGATACAGTACTAAAGTACTAACCTTCAGTATGGGTTCAGCGTAACATATGCACAACAAGCCAATGTGAATTTCCGTTTTGAAAGCCTTTCAGACGGCAAGACCTGCTATTCTATAAACATGACACAGAGCTCATTGTGAACACGCCGGACCGCACTCAAAGGTCACTCACTATCTTTTCATGAGTTTTCTTTAAAGAGGACACGTGCTCTTTTACTGCTGTCCTCTCATCATCACCGTCGTTTTCTTATCATTCATGGCACACTTTCTTGAGAAACAGTCGATGAAGGGTTAGGGTTAGGGTTAGGCATAATATACTCCCACCTTAATTCTGTGTCAATTCCCTCTGCACCTGAAGGCTGGTTTGGCCAGCCGAAATATAGTGCTCTGTCTTAAAACTTATCTACGCTGTATCCGTCTTGCCTCTATACATATATTAAAGCAGTATTTTTGCTCAATTTGAGAATACGGACTCCTCTTCGAATCCAAGAGTCGAAGAAATGTGACAGAAAAAGGAAGAGTGCGATGTTTTTATAACTGGTTTCACAACCTGTGGTGTAATCCAGCTGTTAAGATCTAACCACTACAACGCAACAGAAATTTCTGTGGTTCTAAAACGGATACATGATTTTCAAATATCGATTTTTAGATCTCTTTCACAGAAGTTAACTTTTACCCGGGCCGGTGCTAATCACTTCTTGCGTAAAAACCTATGAAACCTGTGAAGTGTAACTATGGTGGCTACTGTTGCTTGCCGATATTATACGTCCACAAAACATGACGAGTCAGTAAATGTGACCGATTCTGCCCAGGAAATTTTATTGTCTGGAGCTTGGACATGTCAGGAGAGGTTCCTTGACAGCTGGATTACACCCCATGTTGAGAAACCATTTGTGAAGATAGACATCGCGCTTTGTCTTCGCTTTGCGACCACGAAAATGTGATGCCTGCGCGAGTTGATTTCACCTCGACACTTACCGGTAGGCCAAAATAGTAATTTCTAAGCACACTTTTGCATCGTCTTCTCTCTCAAAAAAAAGCCTTGATTCATGGGGTATTTACTACTTCAAAATGAGAAGGAATGAGAAGGCTCTGAATTAGAAGAGTATTTTTTTCTACTTTTGAATTGGCAACAAGTAAATAAGACGGAGTCATGGGAGGTTCTGAATACGCAACACCGCAAACAAAATAGAACTAGCGCCTCATCACCCAAAAAATATAATCAATGCACCGACATCGCAATATAGATCAAGTCGCACGATTTAATTGGTCTGGTTTGGCCAATAATGTGTGTGGTAGAGGTCCAGAGGTCAAGTAAAATGCTAGCTAATGTTTATCAAAGATTAATTCTGATTTATTGCTTACTTTGTTTTAACAAAATCTAGTTTCTAAAAGGGTTAAAGAATAAACTACAACTCATAAATGGTTTATTTCACCAAAAACCGTCAGTTTGAGATCACCGCAGTAATGCAGTGCGAGTTGTTCTCCACTGCATTTACTGCATTAAAATTAAGGTTGACATTGCAACACTGCGAACCCCAATGTTTATCAATATACTCCTTGTATCACAGACTAAATCAAGTGTTCAATTTCATGGTATAAAAGAACAGCTTCGGTGACTGCATGCATTTGCTGCCACATCCATATTAACTTTACTGACTGTTTTCCTTGATGATTCCCAGACTGCATTACGCGAGTCTAATAGGTTCCAGTCCTTTAATCGCACACTAATTAGTACGCTAGTACGCTTGTGACCTGCAGTCCTCTAATCGAACACTAGTACGTAGGTACACAAGTCATTCATGCTCACTCCGGAGGTGTAGTTAGTAAGCTAGTACGCTCGTACTCTGGCGCGCTAGAGACATGCAGTCCTTTAATCGAACGCTAATACATAAAAACACAGGTCACTCATGGTGGTTGGAGAAGTGGAGTTAGAATGCTAGTACTATTGTATGCTAGTGGCACGAGGTTCTTTAATCAATCGCTAGTACGAAGGTATGCAAGTCATTGATGCTCGTTTGAGAGTGTTAGTAAGCTAGTACACTAGTACTGGTACGCTAGTGACATGCAGTCCTTTAATCGAAAGCTAGTACGTAGCTGCGCAAGTCATTCATGGTTGTTCGAGAGGTGCAGTTGGTACGCTAACACTGATGAATAAACAAAATACTAAAGGAGAATGTGCTCAATAGGGACTGTTAGTACAATAGTACTGATGAACGCTGTTGGTACGGTAGTACTGATGAATAAGCAAAAGTCTATACAAAAGCATTCCTATAATGGGCAGCATATGTAGTGAAAAGCACTTCTGCGAACAGTAGTTGTAAAACTTCTTTATTCTCTGACGTGTTTTGTAGACTTCTTCAGGGAGTTTTACAAGTATAACTAAATGCCTGTATTTAGAAGCCAAAGTTAGAGGCTAATACGAGGGCCAATGACCATAGAGGCTTGGCTGGACTTGCAAACAGGAATGGGCAAAGTTGTGAAAAATTTAAAATGTAGAAGGCAAGGTGAGAAAAATATTTTGGGGGCCACACCACAGTTTTAGCTGAAACTGTGGCCCCCAAAATATTTTTCTCACCTTGCCTTATTTCCAATTGTTTACAGAGTCCACAAGACCATTAAAACAGCAACACTCATAAAAGGACTATGCCACACTAAGATGTATGGAAGCTTTCATCAGAATCTGTAGCTTTACGATGTCTTGTTTCAGCAAGAGCTCCATTTAATACTTTACTCTCATCAGTGTACTTAGATAATGAAGAACCAAAAAATGTTCCTTAGAACAAGAGCTACTAACCTTTTGGCTGTAGGTACCAACAGGACAGTGTTTTGGTACCTGAGCCGGATCAGTACATGCCTGACCAGCTTCACACTCTGTACACGATGCATCTCCTTGAAGTGAGTAGTAACCCGGCATACAAGGCACTGGAGGTTGAGTCACATTGGTACAGCTGTAGCCAGCCGGACATGGAGCACATCTTGGAATCTGTGATGTACAGCCAGCCACATAAATGACTTACACAACCAAAAAAAAAGCAAAGCGAAACACACTACAACAGCACATGCATTCCTTTGTACTTTAATAACGAGTATTTAAATGTTTTAAGAGAATTGCATTACTGATTCCTTGTTCCTCACCATCTACGTGATACCCTAAATCAAACAAAACCATTTTTTGTCTACTGAAAGATATATAGGAGCCAGAAACACAATATGTTGGATGAGCTTTTTTGTCATGAACTTAACTTAAAAAAATAAAAGGTAACAGGTAGAATGATCATACCTCTCCACCTTTATTCCAGTACTCTGAAGAGGTGCATGCTACTGGGGCCTGGCTGGGATCATTACATGAGTGCCCTGCAGGACAAGGAGAACAAAATGATGCCCCTCTGTTAGAATAGGTTCCGAGTGGACATGCATGACAGATGCCAACTCCAGGTGGACTATATGTTCCTGAAGAACACTCTGTGGGAGATATAGGATCAGAGCCATTCATACATGACCGTCCTGCTGGGCAGATGAGGCAAGATGATGCTCTACCAAGGCTGTATCTACCATCAGGACATTTCTGTTTGGGAGAAAGAAAATACTTCAGCTTACCAATACCAAACATCCTCATATGAGGTTTGCTTAGTACTTTACAAGATTGTCTTTGCAAGATAAACAAATGAACAGTTTTTGCCTTCCCTGAAGCATGCAGTTGACAAACATACTTACACTACATGTTACTTGTCCAGATATACTGTATTCTCCAGCAGAGCACGGAACTGGTGCATTGGATGGATTTAGGCAGGAATGTCCAGCATCACATGCTTTGCAGCTAACTGCTCTTGTTTCATTGGAGTAAGTGCCATCAGGACAAGATTGAGGACCATTTGCAGGAGAAGGACAATAATGGCCAATATCGCATGGAATACAGAGAGAACCATTGCTGTAAGTACCAACCTAGGGATAGAGATCAATTTGATTTTATTGAAAATTGACCTTTTAAATGAGGATCTACAGCAGTTGAAGAGAAAACTTTGTCATTTATACAATGTGGCTCTGTGACAAAAAGCCTTGTAAATGAAAACAAACATGTAAACTTTCTACACTCACAGTGCATGTGATTGGTGGAAGTGCAGGTTCTGAACAGATTTTCCCTGCTGGGCACGTAAGACATTCAGTAGAGGCCTCTGGGGAATACTGCAAAAAAATCAGCAAATATGTAATGAGTATTATGTTCCACTGGCTGCGAGAAATAAAACCACTGGTCACATGTAAAACACTGCTTGATATTATCAATTTTTACCACCCATCCATCCTGTTACAAGATTTTGTTAAACGACATAGTCATTAGTCCTACAATCTACAAATCTCGCCAATCGAGTTTTTATAGATTTTTACATGTCTTTGATTACAGGAATGGTTTTATTAAGTTTACAATAAAGTTAGGGCTGTGGTGATCAGCCCAACAGAGCTACAAACAATGATGTGAGAGTTCCTCTAATCAGCATATAGGTGCTATTAAGGACAATAGCATTGATAGAGATGAGGAGAGGTCCAAAAGATGGAGGACTAAAAGAACGATGATTACTGCAGCCAAGAATGCATGAAAGCAAGCAATAAATGAAAACATTGTATATACTTGGCCAAAAACACATCGAACTGGTGGGCTGTTTCTCAGAGGACAGCGGCTTCCTGCAGGACACACTTGACAGCACGACTGCCCTGTTGTTTCAGAATAGTATCCTGGTGCACACTATAAGAATGAAGAATAAAATCAAATTGTTTCCTAGTTAAAAATGATACAGTTATTAATCAGGTGCTCAATACTACTTAAAATATTGATAAAAGCAAACATTTACAACAAAAAAATGTGGCTGTGAGCTTAACACCATTGCTAGGCTACAACATTCCAATATAACTAGATGATTTGTGTAAGATTACAGGGAAATTTTTTACACATTGTACATAGCATTTGACTATACTTATTCCAATAACTCTCATTTTATTTACCTGAGTACAGACTGTTTGACCTTTAACTGCACTAAAATAACCAGCAGGACATTCCGTTGGAGACTGAGCAGGGTCTGGGCACTTGGAACCTGTTAAAACACATTATCTTAATTCACAAGTGCAACATCTACCAGTAATAAACAACGTGCAAACCAGTAAATTAAGTGTAGAGATGAGTAAATGAAAAAATTGGAGCTAGCAGTCAAGGATCTGACTGGTACGTTGCAACTTAAAACCAACACATTATTTAGTCAAGAAAAGAGAGACAAAAGTTCTACCTCTTTCACATTCTTTGCAGCTCTCAGATTTAGTTTCATTTGCATAAAATCCAGAAGGGCATGGCTGTGGACTGGCAGTGATCAAAAGAGGACAAAAAAATCCAACAGGACATTCATAACATGACATGCTTGCTTCAGAAGCAAAATATCCTCTTCCACATGGTACAGGGGCCTCACTCTTATTAGTGCATCTATTGAAAATATTACAATAGTACACACTGTTAATATGCAGATTAAGTTGGTACAAAAAGAAAACAACAACAGACAAGTAAAACCACCCATATATAACTAAAGCAATTGCTCAATCCCAAGTTTAAACCTCATTAAAATGTTAATTAAAAACATAAATTTTAACTTATTTCCACTTTAAATAAGACACTAATAGTACACCATCCAATGTCATCATTTTAAAAGAATCCACCTAGAATCTTCACTTTCTATCCAGGTGTTTGGGCAAGAATAACAAATGTTTAAAAATTTTAAGGGACATGTTAAAAAAAAAAAAACATATCACTGTGAGGGTACTGAGTATGAGGCATCTTAACAGTCACAGACTTTTGAAGATAGAAATCTCCAGCACTATCATACTAACTGGATGAAAAAATAAATGAATGAATGAATGCACAAATGAAGTGAGTTTCAATAGACTGTTGAACAATTTGGTGATTTAACCAGCATGTCCTTGGACTGACTAGAGGACACCATGTCACATAACTCACCATAATATTGATAAGCTGTTAAAAATCTGCCAAATTATATGAGCAGATGATATGAATGCAGTATGACGTCAACACATCTAAGAAGTTTTAATGTAAAGAAGAACAAACAAATGCTTCGATAAAGAATGGATGATGACGTCAGTGGACAGTTATAATGCAGCTTGCATCTGTGAACTGTAGATGTTGGTTGTGTATTTGCAAATATGTATGAAAGACCAGATCAACAAATGGATTGATGCATGGATTGATAACTGCAATAACCTCACCTGTGTCCCTCTGGACACAAAATACAATATCGAGCACCAGTTACATTGTTGTATGTTCCATTAGCACATTCTTCTGGTGCTTCCATTCCAACACTTGGACAATGGAAGCCAGCTGGACATAGTTTACAATCACTCAGATTTTCAGCATCTGAGTATGTTCCATTTGAACATAGAAAATATGTAGAAAGTCCTTTGGTTGGACATGAAGCTCCTTTAGGACAAGGTTGACATTCAATATTGCTCCCTGCCGCAGCATATGAACCAGCTGAACATTCAACAGGAGCTGTTTTATTTGGACAACTAAATCCACAAGGAACAAACATTATGAGTAAAGATAGAAAAAAGAAAAGAGTTTGTCTAACCACCATGGTATTACTCATTCAATGTACAACTTACTACCATATACATCAAAACTTTAAATTTTCAAAATTTCAAAGTCAACATCATCTTCTATCAAGGTGTTTGGACAAAAATAACTAATGCCTGAAAACTGTTAAGAGACATATTTAAATATAATTACATAATTGCACTGCTACTAGTACTAAGTATCTAGCATCTTAACAGAGGCAGACTTCAAATATCTCCAGCAGGTCCCAGTTACATGTGCAATCAGATAAATGAATGAATGGCAGCATAAATAACTTGAGCGTCAAAAGAATGAATTGTTGAAAAATCTGATGATTATAAAGCCAGCATCTCCTTGTATTTACAAGATGATAAAATTGACCAATGTATAAATCAAATTGATAAACTGTTAAAAATCTGCTAATATCGTCACATCATTAGAATGTGGTATGTAGTCAACACATTTAGTGGTATGCAGCACTAAGAAGTTGAAAAGAAAACAAATGCTTGGATGTGGGGTTTTTAGACCAGATAATAACTTCATCTGTGTGTCAATCAGTCCATCTTTATCATAAGAATGAAGAATGGATGAAGAAGCCAGGGAACAGTTAAGTGGCATCTGTGAACTGTAGATGTTGGTTGCATCCCACGAATAAATTTGAATGACCAGATCAACGCATGGATTGATGCATGGATTGATGCATGGATTGATTATTCTAATAACCTCACCTATGACCCTCTGGACACAAAATACAATATTGAGCACCAGTTGCAAAACTGTAAGTTCCATTAGCACATTCTTCTGGTGCTTCCATTCCAACACTTGGACAATGAAAGCCAGCTGGACACAGTTTACAATCACTCAGACTTTCAGCATCTGAGTAAGTTCCATTAGAGCATAGAAAATAGGTAGAAAGTCCTTTGGTTGGACATGAAGCTCCTTTGGGACAAGGTTGACATTCTATACTCCCTGCTACAGCATAAGAACCAGCTGAACATTCAACATGAGCTGTCTTATTTGGACAACTATAAACCACAAGGAAGAAAAATTATGAAATAAAATAGAATGAAGGGAAGAAGTTGGCTAAGAGCCACCTTATTACAGATTTAATGTATAATCAACTACTATGAACATTACAAACTAAAAATACGATTTTCAAGTCAGTTTAACCATCTATCCAGGTGTTTTGGCAAGAATAACAGATGCTCGAAAAGTTTGACGAGACATACTAACTACTACAAATGTATCACCGTACTGGTAATAAAACTGGGTATTAAGCATCTTAACAGGGACAGACTTTTGAAGAGATAGTCTCTTTTAGGTCCTGCTACCAACCATATGAATGAATGAATGCAGGAATGATGTGAACATTGCATAAATGCATGAACTGTTGAAAAACATTTGATGATATAGCCAGCAGGTGCTTCTGTGGACTAGATGTTATGATTGACTGGTGTAGAGATAATATTGATGAACTGTCACAACATCTTCCAAAATCATCAGCTGATATAAGTGCGGTATGTAGTCAACACAATTTGTGGTATGCAGCACTAAAAAGTTGAAATGCAAAGTCTAACAAACAAATGCTTGGATGAAGGGTTCTTAGTTCAGAATGTGACTTCATCTGTGTATCAGTCAGTGTACCAATCTCTATCCTAAGAATGAAGAATGGATGAAGAAGCCTGGGGACAGTTGAGTGGCACCTGTGAACTGTAGATGTTGGTTGTATCCCATGAATAAATTTGAATGACCAGGTCAATGCATGGATTGATGCATGGATTGATGCATGGATTGATGCATGGATTGATGCATGGATTGAT